ACCCCACAAGTGCTTGCTATATATTGTATATTAACATATTATGACACAAACATGCAGACAGAATGCAACCAGGCCCCTTTAAAAAACTGTTATCTAAGAACATGTTGCGTTTTCCCTACAGCAGAATAGTGAAAAATGTTTGGCACACTTCTAATCTCCAGTGTTTAAAAACCTGCATTTATCAGCATACGCTGATGCCGACTGTCTTTCAGAGTAAAGACCACAAAAAACTGCCGAAATTAGAAGTTCTTAAAAAGCTCTGCTCAGACTTAGTTCTGTACTGGATGAAGGATGTAGAGTATCTGTTCCTGCAGAGGTGGTACAGGCCTGAAGGATTATTTAATTAGTTGGTGAAACACATCCGACCTTTAGCTGAGAGATTTAATGCAGAATATTTTATTTTTAATTATTTCGAAATATTTGGATTTTCTTCTGATGTGATTAAAAATATCTCTGTGAAGGTGATGGCCGCTCTGCTTTTTTGGCAAACATAGAGCCCCCTCTCCCTCCCTCCCTCCCTTACTCGACTCCTCCACAGAGCAATTAGGAGACCCCACAGCAGCTCTTTGGAGGGCCCACCAGTGACTACGTGAACCAAGGAGGAGAAGTTAGCGGGTGTGTTTAGCCGTCCGCCTCGGGCCTAGGAGGGGCCACAGGGTGGGCTCCCCCTGCTTCCATTCAAACTTGTGAACGCCAACAGTTGTGCCACTTAGGGGACTTGCAAGTGGCACTACCGGCATCATTGTGTGATCTTGGGAAACCCACAGCTGCTGAATGAGCTCCAGGGCCGCTCCATTGTGCTGGAGGGTCACCCAGAGCCCCTCCGGCACACACAAACACACACAATCACCACCAATCCAATCAACGAAGCACAAGGGGGGGGGGGAGCTTTTCTATTCATCTGCACAGAAACTAATTTTTGCTGCAGAGATCCAGCGTCGTTTTACCTCTAATTGTGGAAATTTTTTCAGCTGAACACGTTTTATCCCATTTTGTTTTCTAAAGAAAAGCCAACCTCCTGAAAGCGACTTTTGTTTCTTTACAAAACCAACAGTGATTTAATCACAGGTGGAATCAAACCCTCGGTTTGGAAATAATAAAACACACAAAAACACTTTTTGTGTGTGCAGATCAGAAAGAGTCAGGTGTTTTTTGTTTTTGTTTTTTTTGTTTCTTTCCCCCCTGAACATCATGAAGCTTCAGATAGCCCTAAGTGTTTGTGTTGATGGCCCATTAGGATCAGAGATCTGAATATGCTAATTTAAGCGGTCGGTTATCACCAATTAACAGAGATGGTAAGTATTCCTCTCTTCGGGCATCATCCGGCCTTCTTTCCTTCATCTTTGCCTTTTCCCTGTACCAGCAAACCCTCCCCCGGACCAAACCACCCCTCCCTCCGCCCCATCCTCTCTGGGACAGTGCACCCTTTTACTTTGGGGAGGGACAGAGATCATGGGGGTTACTGGTAATTAATTAGCAGGCGAGCCACAGCCTGGTTGGACTTTGCTGGCCGGGTTGGGATTAACAGGGCCTTTTTTTCTGACCTAAATAGCCATTTGGGTGCGTTGGTCCCGGGACAATGGGGGTTGAATGGTCATGACTCAGACATAGACTACGGCCAATTATCTATTGATTGGTGCTTTACAGTGGCTGTTCCTCTTCACAGCTCTCTCACCAACACACTCACTGACCATGTCACCTTGGATGAGGGGGGCCCCTGCGTAAAACCTGCACACACACACACAGTTCATTAGGAGATTTACATGTTAACATTTATAGACAAGCACAATCATTATTTTGCACTAATGATGCCTATAATTGGTATACCTGTCAAACTCAGCTGCAGGCGAGATTTTGATATTCCACTAATGGATGAATAAAAAAATAAATAAAATAGAAAATTAAACCCCCAACCGCTGCGTCGACCCAGACAGGAAGAAGAACCCTACCATTCAGTTTTTCCTCATTGTTTACATTCCTGAACATCTTCTTTTTTTTCCCCACAGAGGGTGAAAGCAGCCATTTTAAAGGCTTTCAACAATCCAACAGAGAAGACGGCTGATGAGGAGACCAAGCGCCAAGTCAAAGGTTGAACAAACAGCTCAACACAGATGTCCATAGCAATAGCTCCACCTTGTGGTGGTAAATGATAATGCATATGAGTCAGAGGATGGTTGATAAATAAGAGAACAAACAGATTTCTGCTTTTCTCATCGTCTTCCTTAGTTCTTGATTCATATACAAGACATTTTATCCTTTCTTTATCCCAGTCAGGTTTCTTTGTTGTGTCGATACGTTCATTTTAGAGAAAATTATTTTGGCAAACTGACTTATATAAAAAAAATGCTAACTAAAACTGTATGTTTTCCTTTGTTTCCATCAGCATATGGCAAAGAAGGTGTGAAGATGACCTTTGTTGACCGGATCTTTGTAGGCGAGCTTACCAACACAATAATGTGTGAAGAGTGCGAGCATGTAAGTAAAAAAAAAATAAAGAGCCAAACAGGCGGATAGGAGGATACTTCTTTTCAGCTTGCTTAGCAGAACAGAAGCAGCCATAATGTATTTAGACCAGGAGTAATCAATTAAATATCAGCGGGGTCGGATTAAAGAAAATCATCAACCAGTAAAGGTCCGGGGACATTTTTAATTATAATCTGTTACTTTAAGCCAGGGGTGTCAAACTGATTCCAGAAAGGGCTGTGTGGCTACAGGTTTTCTTTCCAACCAAAAGGTAGCACACCAGACTGCGTTCATCTCATCAAGTCATCATGTTCAGATTGGACTCACTCAGTGAGATGACAGGATTCTGGTGTGCTATTGCTTGGTTTAAAAAGAAAACCTGCAGCCACACGGCCCTTTCTGCAATCAGTTTGACACCCCTGCTTTAAACAGAATTTAACAGAAATAAAATGAGGTGTTTATGTATCCATTTTATGCATTGACTTTTTAAAATAAAAATTTATATATAAAAAAAAAAAGAAGAAGAAAAAAGCAAATTTTTCCATTTTAAAATCTAAAGTGTTTTTTGAGATAGAGAACAACAATCATTCAGTTTGGTATATAGACAATTTCCTGATCCACATAATTTATAAAACACCTGAACTGACCGTTTGTTTGTTTCTTTCTTTTTTTCTGTCTTAATGAAAGCAGTGGGCTTTAGGCTGCCCTGCAAGGCTTTAAACCTGGGTTTGAATTGAGACAAATACCGCATTTACACTACCCTTGAAAAACTGATCCATGCCGAGACCGGTCCGAGCTCAGATCAGTTAACCAGGCCAAGCTCGGATCTGACGGCCGTTTACACATCACGCTATCTCGGTTCCTCGACTCCTCGCCTCCTAGTGACGATCTGCGGTATTACTGCCAGTATTGAAGGAGGAAATCAAGCAGTTGGCGGTAATGCACCAAAAGTTGTTTGCCAACCGCCATAAAACACAAGAAGAAGAAGAGGAAGAAGGAGGGAATCAAGCAAATCAAAATGGCGGCGCCCGTCACATTCAGAAAGCTATGCTTGATTGTTGTTGCTGTACTTTGGTGTTGTTTAAAATGCCATTATTTAAAATGTTGCGTATAGAAGATTTTGATTGTTGTTTATAGTTGAAGAAGAAGTCGTTCTTCTTCTTATGTTTCTGGAGGGGCATTTCCGCCAACTACTGGTATGGAGTGTGAATTGGGATGTGCAGCCAGACGGAGATGATGCGTTCTGCTTATGCGCTCTTGTTATCAGAGAACCGAGCCGAGCCCACCTCTGGAACTGGTCTGCAGTTAGGGCGGTCCGGTTGTGTCTAGCTCGGTTCAGTTCAGTTTGCTTTTCATTTACACACGATAAGTTATCTCAGTTACTGAGCTCGGACCGGTCTCGGCACGGTTTTTTAAGGGTAGTGTAAATCAAGTCAAGTCAGCTTTTATTGTCACTTTCTTCATATGTACAAGACATACAAGGGAAATGAAATTACGTTTTCTCTCTAGAAATATACAAATATACAAGAAATATGCAAATATACTGACATTTACAGACTGACATAAAGTGCGGGACATGACAGGTAACAGTGATAAGATAAATATAAAGTATAGACATTACAATAAAAGCAATAAACAGCAGCAATAGTATAAAAGCCATTCTAAAGCCCATATCAGGAGCTCATTAAGAGCCTGGATCCGTATTTATTTTTGATTCTGTTCATGGTGGAGAATCCTGCTTCACAGCAGCAGGTTGATCCAAACATCCTCTAAATGTTCAGGGTCATCTTTGAGCACACTATTTCACTTTTCCACTTCATCACAGCATTTTCAGCAGCCCACACTTCCTCTGCTCTCTTTTTCTCGTTGTCTTCTCCTTCTTCCCCATCGCCCGGCTTGCCACAGGTTTGCCTGCTGTGTCTAAAAGTAGCAACAGCAGCAACAACCCAGACTGACAGCAGCTCATTGGCTAATTTGTATCACGTGTAGCCTGGTCCTGGAAGCTCTGGAAGGCTTTACCGTATTAACACGAGAAGCAGCACAAGTGAAATTAGACACTGTCGTCGGACAACATGCTTTAATGTTTAAATTGTTTAAATCAGGTTGGGTCCATATGAGCCAGCAGGTGCGTCCGGATCTGGACCGTGGTCCGCTAATCCGTGACCTCTGGTATAGAAACTTTGCAGGGTTTGTCGTAAACTCTTTCCTGTCGTTATTGTTTAGTTTTGTAGTTTTAAATTGTTGCTGAAGGTTTCCCAGCTGCGCAGGCATTCCTCATTAGGCTTGTTTTGTTTCAGATATTTTCCTGTGAAGATTGTTTAAAAAGAAGTAATTAGCTTCTTTACCAGGTGTTGCGCCTGCTAAACTAATATACACATGGAAAAATGAATAAATAAATGTTGATCATTTAATTGGGAAAAAGCTTATACAAAATACGTGAGGTGTTAATGAAAAGAAATTAACAAAGAAAAACTTGCACAAAAAAGCATTCAAGGACCAGCTCTGACACCAGCCGTTTACAGCAGGCACTTACAGAAGGAGAGGGAATGCCACCGTGAAAAATAAAGAGGATGCCTGCAGGAGGAGAGCGCCAGGTGTGGAGGAAGAGAGAGAAGAGCAGAGAAACGAACGCTCCTTCTCAGTCATGAATGATCCTACATTTAACAGCTGAAGTTTAAGTCTTAGACAACTTTCATTGTCATTTTTGACACAAAGTGTTAACAAAACAGAGTTTCGTTTTGCACAGCTTTCAGACAGTAAATGAGCAGCAGCTTTGCAGTGAAATGAACATTTCCATTCCATAAAGTGCAGCAGGGATCAAATGTAAACAGCGTGGGAGAAAAACATGGTGCAAAATGCCTTGATGCTGCATTGACACTGTCTCACAGAATACTGACACCTGCTGGACATTTAAAGACACTACAGGCAGCTAATTTGACAGACTAAACTGAATTGATTTGATGGCCAAGTACAATGATTTAATTGAAGTTATTGTAGGTTATATTTTATTATTCCATATCTATGTTTAAATTGAAAATATCTTTGATATTTTTAGATGCAGCCAACAAATAATGTAAACATATAGCCTATCACAATGTGATAATTTACATGAAAATGTGAATGAGGATGCTTGTGGACTAGGATTTTAAATCATAATTTTAAACCAGCAAAGTCTACCTCTATGCTAAAAGTTTACCAAAACCTCTTCAGGCAACTCAAAACAGTTTTTTTTTTCTTTTTTTTAAATTAAATTTTCCAGATGAATATACAAAAATTTACATAAAAGATCAAATCCCCACCCTTCCCTTACCCTCACAGAACAGCACATCATAGAACACTTGCACAGTCAAGACAACATGATGAAAACACCATACATTGATCCAAAGCATTCCACAAACATGAAAAAGTTATACAGGGTATTAAGTAGTGACGAGTCAGTCATAATCACTTTTTCATTGAAGGAATTATAGTACAGGGTCCCATATTTTCTCAAACACATCGACCTTATCTTCATTATAGTGTCTCAGTATTTCCAGATGCAGAGTGTTTGCTAGTTCTCCCAACAACAAATCAAATGTGGGCACAGAGTCCTTTTTCCAAAATCTCAAAATCAATCCTTTAGCAATCACCCTACCAACCAAGACAGCCATTTTCTCACTTTTAGTGGCTGGTTGCAAAGCACTGGAGACCCCGATGATGGCAATAAGAGGATCTGGATCCCATCTTTTTCTGAAAGCTGCTGAAAAAAAAAAATAAAAAAATTCTTCCAGAATGACTGAAGCTGAACACATGACCAGAAGGAGTGCGTCAGGTGACCAATAGCAACCCGACAGCGATTACACATTGGAGACACACTAGGAAAGAAAGTGCTCAGTTTCTCCCTCGAATAATGGAGCCTATGTATAGTTTTGAACTGTATGAGATTGTGTCTGACATTGACTGAACAATATTGAATACTTTTCAAACCTTCCTCCCACAGATCTTCAGATAACTGTTGCCCCAACTCATCCTTCCATGCCTTTTTAATCCTAGTTGTGTCTACGCATATATTGTTAAAGATCTTATAAAAGTGAGATACTGCCACCCGACTGACAGGATCAAATTTATTTATTTCCTCCAGGGTTTCATGTTTTGTTAAAGTTCCAAAATCCGATAAATTTTTCCTAACATAGTCCCGAACCTGCAGATAACGGAAGAAACTCGACGGGGGAAGATTATACTCAGAACGTAACTGTGCAAAAGATGCAAAAGTTCCATTAATATATAGATCACCTATCACACTGATGCCCTTCATTCTCCTTAAAACAGGTTTTAACTGCTATTGATATAAAAGTGTAAATCAACCCTTTATCCATCAAGGGTGTGGTTTATTTACTCTGAAATATATTTAACATTTACACCTTTTTATTTTTTGTTTTTGGGCATACAAACAATTTTATTACAGATTCCACACTGTCTTTGATAAATGGGATCCCAGGACTTTTAAAATGATCGTCTTTGGATCGATGAATGTAAAGAAGAAAAACTGGGAGATGTTTGGCATAAATCAAACCTTGTTCTAGCTATGAAGCACGGTGGTGGAAGTGTCATAATCATGTCCTCAATATCATAACAACTATTATGAATTCTACCGTGTATAAATTTTTCTGTTGGTTTAAATGTAGTAAAGGTAAATTTTGAAGATTTAAGTGACATGAAATCATCTTGTTTTCCAAATTGAAATAGAGATTATTATTGAAATTAGAAATTATTATGCAAACATTTTAACAACGAAGAAGAAGAAAATATTCTCCCAGATTTTAAAACCTGAGTTTTAGTGTTCTTTCATTTTCAGATCTCAACAGTAAAGGAAGCCTTCATAGACATCTCTCTACCCATCATAGAGGAGAGGGTGAGCATGTGCAGAATGATCACTAAATAGGATCTAAAAGACGTGTTTGCTGTTTAATACCATTGACAGTTATTGTTCTGCATGCTTTCACAGACTTTATTTTAAGTTTTTCTCCTCATCAGATATCAAAACCCTCCAACCCTGGTCGTCTGGGGAAGAGCAGCCGGGAGCAGGACAGTGTTGCGGCTCACAATGAGCAGCTTCTTTCTGCAGCGAACTCCGTCAACAAGAACTCCAGGAAGCTCAGCGGAGCGGTGAGGCAGACGCAAACAGTCTCTCTGGAGCTTTACAATCAACAAATAGTTTTAGGATTTCTTAGACGTATATTTTATGCTTATTGTGTTGTTGTTGTTTCATTTTATAACTTATAACTTATTTATTTGTGTAAATGTATTGCTTTAGGTGCGGGGAACAAAGATCATCAGGTCATTCTATCTGCTCCCTTTCATTCAGGAGTTTTGTTTAACTTGTAGCTGACCCAATTCAGCATTTTTCTGCCAAGCTTTTATAGAAAAAACTCACTTTGCTTTGAACATCATAACATTGAAGAACTGCTCTCTCTTACACTGACGGCAGTCGGCGTATCTGGGGGCGGTGTGCAGAACAAGCAGCAGCAGCCAAGATGTTCTCTCTTTCTGTGCTTTTTAAATATAATGTCTTGTTTCTCTTACAGAAAAAACTCAACAGGAGGTCTTCCAGCTGTGTGGAGGAAAAGGGAGCAGCCTGTGGTGCCGAGCGAACAGAGGAGGAGGCGGCGGCGGCCGGCGGATCAGCACGTGGAGTGTCTGTGTGCAAAATGGCGGCTGCAGGCAGCCTGTCGGACGGCAGCGAGAGAGAATCCAGCGCTCAGGACAGTAGTAACGACGCAGACAGCGAGGCCTCTGAGAGCGAGTGGGCCCCGCGGGTCTCCAGTCATGGTCACACCTCCACTCCATCGTCCACATCCACTCTCACTCCTTCGCCTACCCCTGTTTCTTCTTCCTCTCCTGCGTCGTCATTGGCTTCCGCGAAACACTGCGGCGCCGTGGATCAGCTGGTCAGCGCCGTTTCCAAAGCCAACCTGGGATTCTCTCCGACGGACGCTTCAACTCACTGCTCACCGGAGGAGCAGGGAGAAAATCAAAGCCGTGATCATCATCATCTTCATCACCAGGGAGCGTTCCAGGCTCTGTCCCACAGTTACACTCCTTCCTCTAAGGAGTGCTCCATCCAGTCCTGCTTGCACCAGTTCACGTCAGTGGAACTGCTGATGGGCAACAACAAGCTTCTCTGTGAGAACTGCACTGAGCGAAGGCAGAAGCAGCTACGCAAAAGTGGCTCCACAGGTGAGGCAAGGCAGCCGGGCCCCAGCATCATGTTTGGAGGGCGAGGAGCCAGTCAGCACTGGCTGTCTGCAGATGGGCGTTACACTGCAGCCTTTAAAGATCGTCTTTAAATTGGACATATTTAAAGACAAATCAGAGGATTTTTTTTTAGATATTAGACCAAAAAACATAAATATAGATATTTACCATTAATGTACCAGAACCTTCTATATTTTTAGGGCCGTTAAGTTAGTTTTAATCTACTTCAGCTCAATCAGAGCTACTTTTTATCGTCACTCTCTGTGTTGTGGGGACGGGATACGTGACGGCATTCAGGAGCGGCAGAGTGGGCGGACTGAGAAGAGAGACGATGGCGCAGGGCCACTGATTTTACCAGCATAGTTTGCTGTTTTTCTACAGAGAAATACTTGGATTATACTATCTGGAATTAGTCCCCCCGTTTAATTCTATTGCAAAGCTTCGTTTTCCAGTTTTATACCTGTTTGATAGCCAGTTGAAGGCTGTAATATTAAGCTGTGATGCATCTAATTTGCTTTAATGTTCTTTTATTATATAAAAAAAAAGCATAATCACATCGACATGATTATATAGCAACTCACTTGTCCAATCACTCACTGAAATGGTTAAGATTAGTTTACTCTGTTTTCAGACATCAGGGTTTCTGCGGGTCATTAAAAATCATTAAATTATTATTTTTTAAATTAAGGCCTTAATTGGAATTAAAATTAATTAAATGTGATTATTGTGGCATTTAAAATGCTTTATTTGAAAAAAAAAAAAATTTATAAAAACAGTTTCGTCAGATATATTATACCAAATATAACTGGTTCCGCATGTTTGCCCGGCTGATTGTTTAGCAGTATGTTTGGAAAAGAAGCTCAAGGAGGAGAAAAAGCCAGAGAATGGGAAAATGCTAATTTCAACAAAAATGGCTGGAAAACGAGAAATTTGGGACATGGCTGCAGCCTTTTGACAGTAAAGATGACGAAGGATTATATATATATATATATATATTATATATATTACATGTATATTATATAGAGATACACACACATACCGCAGGAATCTATAACTGATAACTGATATGACCTTAATGTACATCATGGTGCATTTTTACCAAATAGTTAGATGTTCCCTGTTGTAAATGGAGAAAAGAGGTAAAGAATGACCCCAGTTCTTCCTGGAGGTTTCTTCCTGTCAAAAGGGAGTTTTTCCTCTCCACTGTCGCTACAAGCATGCTAAGTGTGAGGGATTGCCTTCAAGTCAGTGAGTCGATGCAATCAACTGGTTTTCCTTAGATAGAAAACTTTGAATCAATCTGACTGTATGATCTGGTGAACTGTAAAGTGCCTTCAGATGACGTGTGTTATGAATTGGCGCTATAGAAATAAACTGAATTGAAATTGAATTGAATTGAAAATTTCAAAAGCATCCTTTAATCTGATCTATTGATCAATGTGTTCAGAGTCGCATAGTTTGATTTGGTTGAACATATGTGACCAAGTTTGAATTTATTTGACATTCTTCAGAAAAACTCACTTCCTGTTTACCCACCGTCCCCTTTATGATATCCAGTTTAAAGCAGTTTTTCACACTTAGTACATCCGAAAATCCACTTCAGTTTGACTCTTTTATAGATGGAGTAAAGTCAATGTAAGCTCTGATCTAACTTCTATGTTTTACTTCATAGATAAGAAAGTAGAGAAGATTTACACCAGTGCCAGGAAACAGATGCTGATATCCTTGCTGCCTCCTGTGATCACGTTGCATCTGAAACGTTTCCACCAGGTAGGCAGCCTCACAGCTCCCGTTCAGTCTGTTGCTATGTTTGGTATGGATCTCAATGCTGGATTGGTTTTTGTGTTTTTTTCTGTGAATGTGTAAAGGCAGGGATGAACCTGCGGAAGGTGAACCGCCATGTCGACTTCCCTCTCCTCCTGGATCTGGCCCCCTTCTGCTCTGCATCCTGCATGGTAACAACACAAGATTTATCAGACATCCCCCTATTGTTCAAAAATAAAACATCTATTTTTAATTCACTTAGATCTATCAACTTTATTTTAACGTGAGTTACAGATGAGGTTTGTCCAAAAAACATTTATTTTGGATTAGTTTTCTGGGTTTTTTTATTCTTTTTGTGTCTTTTTAAAATCAAGATAAAAAATCTCCCTAAAACAAGCATCGTATGAGGAATAATTAAAGAGATCCGAGATCCTTTTGAGTTTAGCCATTTGTTTTTTACTTATTGTTTGTATTTTATTGATATGTTTTATTTAAAATCACTTCAGAGGTGTTCATAAACTCATTGAATTTGGGAAAACAATGTACATTTTCTTACACATTAAAAGTTTTATAGATGCTTTTAAACTACCAGCTCAAGGTATTCATACAAATAAAACACAATGAATAAAAATAAAAAGGTATGTTAAAGGTTCCCATTTGCCAGTTTTTGGTTTTGGCTGCTCAAAAAAAAAAAAATCCAGGAAAGTTTATGTTTTAAAAAAGATGGAAGTTTGAAACAGATAGGAAAAGTAACAAAATAAAAGCATACTTAAAAAGCAGAATACAATAAAATAAATGTATTCCTTTAAGTTTATTCCACTCTCTCAGACAGTTATGATGATCCCAGTCCTGCTCATTAGCGCCACCACACATCCATCTGTGGTACAACTCATACTATGGCCTTTAACACTAGTTAGCTGATGAAAAAGAAAGTCCAGATTGTGTATAATATCACTAACTGGAAAATTATGGAACGATTTAAGGTAACCTGCAAAAAAAACTACTATTTATTTTATATTCTGTGTATATAGGATCCAATCTGATCCAACTAGAGCACAGACAGGGCTTCACCATAAACTGAAATCTGTCCAAAGGGGCAGGTTTACCAGTGTTTGCTAATCCCAGCTTGATTCTTCTGCCTCTTTTAAAGTTGTTAAACTGAAAAAAAAAAAAAAATACCCAGAAAAAAAACGTATGTTGCAGATTTTTTTGTCCTTTAGAGTTCTTTTAGAAACTTGATATTAACTTGGAATCAAATGGTGTGAATCCACATCTAACCGCCCTGCTGTGTTTTTATTGTCACTGAAAATAAAATTGTGTATTCAGCGCGCTCCACTGGTTTTCAGGCATATAAATATAATGTTCCATTATCATATGAATGACGTGATTCCCATTTTAGTCTTGTAGGTTTACCTACTCCCGTGTCTTTGCTAAGATTTAATTTTGGAAACGTTCTGTTTTCCTCCTCCTTCACCTCCAGAACCTGGCTGCCGGCGGGCGCGTCATGTACAGCCTCTATGGGATCGTCGAACACAGCGGCTCAATGCGGGGCGGCCATTACACTGCATATGTGAAAGTCCGTGCCCCTCAGAGGAGAACAGAACAGCGGCACAAGAACCTGTCAGGTCAGGGAGTCGCTTCCTCACAATCTGTCATCGTTTTAGTCGGTCTTTGTCTGTGGAAGTTTAGCAGTGAAGCAAAGGTTTCACCTTAAAGATAAAATGCTCCTTTGCCCAAATAAACTGTGCAGATCAATGGATAACTCTTTGAAGACACAAAGAAGCACGCATCTCAGCTGCTAGCAAACTGATGCTAAGACTTGATGCATTCTGGATAAAGAGGTCATAGTGACTGCAGTGTGGATGAGAGCTATGAACAACAGCTCCTCTGTCACAGTCCATCTTCTTTCTACTCCAGAGTGTGGATTATAGCAGTACTGCATCGTTTTCAAAATAAAGCAGCTGAAGTGTCTGAACATGGTTTTTAAATCATGGCATTTTAATGGCGCCTCATAATATGGTGATCGAAATAGAAATGAAGAGGCTGTAAGGTTTCCTTCAAGTGATTCTGACTTCAGTCTTTAACTTGGATTATTAGTCTGATAACTTCTGAGAACAGCGTATGTTTTTCTACATGACCTAAAGCTAGAAAGTCTTAATTGTAGGCTTTTAAGTAAGAATTAACCCCTGATTTTAATACTTTCTTTATAATTAAGTTGTATTTTTCTTTCTATATTGCCTCGTGCATTTTCCCCCCAAATATAAAATATGATATCTGCCATTATTTCCTTCACTGTTATTGTAATAATGTAGAAGAACCAGAACCCTGTGATGCGAAGGAGCCATACTGCTGTTGATCTGTTCCCAGCTGTTCAGCAATCCTAACAAGTCTGAAAAAAGGCCTCAGTTTGTTTGGATAAAGCCAGTAATATACCGTTAAGCTTCTGTGAGTTGATGGTGACTAGAAGAACTAGATTTGTGAATTAAAACTACACAAATTTATGTTGACAAAGTTTTATCTAAGCTGTTTAATAAATCAAGTAAGTTTATTATCAGTTATTGGTTTCCTAATAATCCATATATAGTTCTCTGTTAAAGTAATTGCCTCTTTATGGAGTGAATTTTGTTTGATAATTGTTGCAAGCAAAGAACATGTTTTTACAAATAAAAAATTAAAAAATACTAAATAAATCCAGAAATGTATTTATTTATTACATATTTTCCCAAGTCTTTTCATTTTTTATTCTTTTTTTAAGATTGAAGAGAAGAGAATTTAATCTTTAAAAGCCAAATAGAGAAGAATGCAAATCTTAAAACTCTGATCTAAAAAGCAGAACTTAAAAAAAAAAACATGAACTTTTTTCATTTAAATTTCTTAAGAAAAAAAAGAAGAAAATATGAAAAACATCTTTAAAAAAAGCAAAATATAACAAAATTTGTTTTTTTTTCTTACCGAAGAAATAAAACTTAAAACCAAAAATTGAATTTGAAGACTAAAGAAAAAGGTTTTTAAACCAAATGGAATTGTTGAATCTAAAAAACATTTTTTAACTAAAAACAAAAAATATTTCTAAAATCAGGCTGAAAATTCTGCCCAGACTTTTAATTACCATAATTTCCCAAATTTCCTGAATGCAACAGGCTCCCAAGCCTTCAATCATTAATCCACACCCCATTTCATTTAAACCCCACCCCTTCACGACGGGACAATTAGCTTGAAACAAAAAAAAAATCAGAAACTGTAAAAGAAAAAAGATTAAATCTAAAAATAATTTTTAAATATTGTGTTTCTAGTTTCAATTCTCAGTTGTTGTTTTTTTCAGTTTCCAAATGTTTCATTTTCCAATTTTTTTAACAAACTTTATGGCCCCAGTTTAGTTCTATACACCATATTTATTTTTCCTCCAGCTGCATGTATTGGCTCTCATTTCGGTTCCCCAAAGTTTCAGAGCTGTAGAAATAACTTGGTGACCCTTTCCAGACTCAATGAATAAATGTCAACACCTTGTTTCTCACGTTGAATATCTTAAGATCTCAGCAGAGTGCCCTGCCTTTCTCATTTTACACTGACTGGTAATTATTGGTAAACATTAGACCTGGACAGTCTGGATAACTTTCAATAAATAAAAACTTAATTTTAAAGAGCAGCATGGAAAGGTCTAGACTTCGACTAAAACCTGTTAGATATCAGCCTGAGGTTGTTCTTTTCTCCTATTCTGTTTTGATTTTCTAGGTTATTTTCTTTTTTAATGTCTCATTATAGATTGGATTTTTATTTCTTCGTGATTCTGACGCTCTTTCTTGTTTTTAGGTGCAAAAGATGCCTGCAGCAGCTCCCAGAGCCAGTGGGTGTATGTCAGTGACACCACAGTTCAGACTGTACCAGAGTCCCGAGTACTCAGCTCTCAGGCCTACCTGCTCTTCTATGAGGAAATGCTGTAATAAAATCAGTCCATGCGACTCCTCTCTATATCTGTACCTCTTTGTATTAATTGTTTGCTAAAAATCCTGTCAGCCCCTCAAGCTGTTTGATGGCAAGAAAAAAAAAGTGGGGGGTGGACTCTGCTTGCTGGGATGGTTAACATAAAAAGGCATTTTCTGATACAATAGATATGCAAGAGAAAATAATTTAAAATGCTAACATTATGTGGATTTCAGCCAGATTTTAATTTCAGATACTGCATTCAAGCTGAAAGAGATTAGGAGAGAAATGTGCAGTAAACCTAAGCTGTTTAATATTTATTATTGGCCTCAGTTTGAGTTCCTGGCTTAGGGTATAAAATGCATGATGGAGTTGGCCACTGCGACTTTAGTTGCAGATTGAAAGCATGCTTAACTGCAATATGCCTCGACTTGTTGATGTCAATAAAATGCGTGTGTGAGCGCACACCTGTCAGAGAACGGAGGAGTGAAAGACGGATGAATGTAGCTGAAAGGTGCTATGTATATCAGGGAAGCTATAGTAACTGATTCAATCTAACAGGTCGGTACTGTTTCCACCTCTAAGCTAACAGTCTGACCCACCCAGTGATGCATCCAGACTGTGCTTCTAAAGTGTAGGGTTGTCTATATTAAAAAACATAAGACCACTGTTGGTGTTTTCATATATTATAAAAGGGGGATCTTTGTTGACACAGAAGGTCAGAGTTACTATTTTTTAGGAGGGTTGGTCAGTAATACTAAGGCAAAAAGAGAGTAATATTTAATCAAAGTATTATTTTACCTCATATTTATCTTTTTTATGTTGCTTGAAATAGTTCTTTTGAGGTGAGCGTTTGTCCCCACATGTTTCACATTGGATTAGAATTAGTCCAGTTAAAAATGCAAAGAAACAAACTGAAGAAGAAAAGATTTAGAATTGGCTTTTTAGAGATGAACCAATCAGGGAGTCTGTGGCTGATTTCTAATCAACAATTTTAGAAAATTCTGAGCTGCTAATTTTAACCAATTCATATGATGGGTAGAAAACCAAACCAAAGTACCTATCTGCATTAAGATTGCTGCAGGGTAGAAATCAGAGCTCCCTGTAAAACGGATTATATATCATTTGTATCTATTTGCATAGAGGTGGATCATATCACAAGAGGTTCCTCCAGTTATGTCTGGCTTTTAATATTTAAAAAGAAAGCTTTGAGTTATGATGGACTGCTAAAATATTTACCTGGAAAAAAAAAAACTTGAAACAGCTTAACATTGATTTTTATTAATAATTTACATAGGCAAAGTCACTCTATGAGACGTGTGAAGTCGATAATACGGTGAAAGAGAATGCTGCGGTCAATCAGGATTTCTCTATTTAGTATAAAGACAAAAATACTATCTTAAGTATATTTTTATCCACCATGATCTAAGACAATTTGGACTTATTGAACAAAATGGCAACATCTTCTGTTTTTTGTTGAAAATTTAACCCATGTTAAAATAAATTAAATTGCCTTCCCTCTAGAAGCTCCTTTTGTCCTCCCTTTATAAAAAGTTTCTTCTTTCCAAAACTTCTACACTGAAGATTGTTGGAGCTGCTTGTTGGAATCCTGGTATTGGGGAATTGCTGATCGGAAAACAGCCTCTGGACTCTCGGGTCAATTTTTTCCATTATTGTTGCAGACAAAGAATATGTTCTTTAAATGGAAATATGATATATAAAATCTAATCCAGAAATGAAACTTTTTTTATCATAAAAATCATTATCAAAAACTTTGCTGTTTTCTAAGATTGTTTTATTTTATTTATTTTTTATATCTTTTTCCGGTTGAGTTTTACAAATCACTGTCATTGTCTTCTCAGGGCGGGCTTTCCTGTGGAGTAGAGATCAGTTGTATTGGTCTGCATGAACGTTAGCATTTTAATTGGTCAAGAGCGAGCATTTAATCCAAACATGCTAGCCCAATACAAATGCTCATTATTGTGAGTAAAGATAAGGTGGTCTGTCACAGAATTTGAAAAGAATTCAATTAGTAAAACTGGAAAATGTTAAATCTGTACAACAAACCTAAAAAAGGAAAGAAATAAACAATTCAGAGAAAACAGCAAAGTTACTCTCAAAATCTTTCAAATAGCTACAAATGGCAGCTTTGAATAGCAGCGCAGCAGTTACTTTACAAGCCTTTTGTTTTATTGCATCGGAATGTATAAATATGTGACCATGACACGGGTTTGCCAAAGACGAGTTTTGAAAAGCAGCAGATATTTTATCATGCGTAGTGAGTTTGTAATGCAAGCATCTCTGCGCATTTAGACATGACCTTTATTAAATCAATGGAATCACATCTGAGGTCATGGTGTTTGCATCTTAACGCACAAGTTAATGCATCATGGTGTTTTGTTTTGTCTGTTTTTAGGAGCAGCAGATATTTATTCATCAAATATTTGAATCGATCACCTAGTCCTGATATCAGACTTTTTTTCCTCTTTCTTTTTTTATTTAAACCTTGCTCGCCAATCATTTGCTTCAAATGTTTAAAAAGCATTCAGACTATTGGGACTTAAGATGTTTTTTTAAGCAAGTATGAATTCAGTGCCTCTGCCTCCATAAAAGGAAAGCCTGTGCAGGATGGGGATAAACTGTATGCAGAGTGTAATATAAGCAGGGATATGTGTGCGTTTTATTAATGTTTGGACTGGCAGACATGGTGCTGTTAAAACTGAAAGTTGTCTTATCAAGTCAAGGAATGTTTTGGAATGAGTATAAAACATATCTTGTCAAAATAAATCAGATTTATGAACAGCAACGGTTCTGCAGCACTCCTTTTATTTTTTCATTGTTTTTAAAATTTCAGATGTGGAATAGAGATCAGAAGAGATTTAGTGTTTCCTGCTTTGAAACCGTTGTCATGTGTTGTTTTTTTTAGTCTTTCTGTCGGGTCTGTCACTGTGCATCCTGCCCTGCCATATTCCACCCATCCTGGCCTGTTCCCGGCCCTGACGGGTGCAAAGCAGCACTGCTTCGGAACATGTCGCGAGCTGGTGAAGAGGAGGTGGGTGTGGAATCATGAAAAGGGCAATGTCGAAAAGCATCGCCCTAAATGTCCTCTTGACTCTCGCACGCCGTGACGTCCCTGTCACACAGCTGGAATGTGGGGACCGGTTGTCAAGCGGCCACCAACGGATAAAAAAAGGCAAATTCTTCCTGAAATGTGTTTCTCTATTTTTTTTAAAAGGGGAAGCAGGGCTTCTAGCTGGAGGACACGCTGCTGAGGCGTTTGACGTGATTTAATCTCACTTAATGAAATGTGCCCCTCCCCCCCTTTATCTGTGAGACACTTCAGTGAAAGTAATGAGGTGCTGCAGGAGTGCTTTCTTACCAGCAGAGGAGGTTAAAATTGCCTTCCTCACCATGCAATTCGCTGTCACTGTCGACAGAATCCGACATCCAGCACTCGGCACATTTTCTTGTGCAAACATCTGACACACTTGGACTGGACGTGCCTCAGGCTGTCTTCTTCTCAGGCTGCTGTTCACAACCAACATAACAAAACACCTGCAATGAAAAGTTGGCATGTGAATATTTTAGATTTTGTATGTATGCATTGAAAATTCAAGTTAAATCGTCAATTGCTGTTATGTGTGGTGCAAAAAAAAAAAAAATGAGAGGACTTCCTTTGAAAACATATCAGATCTTAATTGATGGAAAAATAAAAATCCTGCTGGATATCTGTATGATTTGGAATAAGGAATGAGTGCAGAACAAAAGGATGCCATATTTGATGAAAATGATAAACCCAAAGAGAGCTTAATCTGAATTCAATCACAAGGTAAAACTGGAGCAGCAGAAAAGCCAAAGGTCATTTCTATTACTTTAAAATGGTGATCAGACCCCTGATAATTTCTTATCAAAGCTAACACATTGATATTTTAAAGGCCCTTTGAGAAACAAACCTTAAGCTCTCAGTTTGTCATCATTTTGACTAAAATGTAATTGTGCAACATTTAGTGAACTGATTCCAATAAAGTAAAAAAAAAAAAAAAAAATCGACTGGACTTAGTTTCCAGGTTTTCCATCCAGGAAGCTTTTTTAATTCAAAATGTCAGAAATAGCGTTGAGTTTGAGGCTTTATAGAGTGGACCAAAACAAAGCCTTGTTTTAGCTTAGAAATTATTCACATTAAATTGGAAGAACGGGTCCGCCCCTTAGGAATGGGGAGTCTTTTGGGTTCTTTGTTATTCTGTAATACCCGATACCTGTCTATGTCTCTGCAAGGGGGGTCGTTGGGGGGAATTGTTGGCCTGGCTGAACAGACAAGATGTTCTGGTCCCCTGTGTGTGGGTAGGGGTTGCGAAGATAGCCGGAAGGATTCAACCTCATCGCTACATTGTAGGTGTTTGAAAGCTGAGTCAACCCCATCTGTTTAAGGTTGGTTTTTCTTTCTTAAAATAAATGGCTTCATTCACACTCCTTTCAAACCACCTGTCTTCTTTGTCCAAAATGTGAACATTCTGGTCCTATTGCAGGCTAACAAAGAACCCAAACAACTCCCCATTCCTAAGGGGTAGCATGTTTTCTAAGCCAAAACAAGGCTTTGTTTTGGTCCAATCTATAAAGCCTCGAACTCAACACTATTTCTGACATTTTGAATTGAAAAAGCTTCCTGGAAGGGAAGTGAAACCTCTTCAGAAATGAAAACTCAGTCCAGTGGATTATTCTTCATCCACTGTCTTTTTTTCCAAGGTTAAAGACGTTTTGCTTCCCATCCAGGAAGCTTTTTCAATTGATCCTCAATATAAACAGAATGCTTAGCAACACCTTTTATTTCCAAATCATCTCTTAGACGTTGATTGCTGCAATACGTCTAATATCAGCCATGAATTAATAAATTACCATCAGCTATGTCCTCTGTTGCCTGGCCAAACATTAGTAATGTGGCTGGTGAGGGGCAGGACAGGTTGATAAAACCGTTTTTTTTCCCGAACGTTCTTTATTTTCCTCGTTTTGTGGACGACTGGTTCTAATCTGTAGTGGTAAATGAACGAGGCGTAAAGACTTATAGAGAAGTAGCTTATATGGTTTTCTTAAATATTTTAAAGTAAACTATTAAAGCTTAATAAGTCTGCATGTTTGCATGTTTTCCTTTAATTCTATGAATACAAAACAATATTTGAGCATCTATTTGTAGTTCTGAGCCCAGGTAACTCTCACAAAATGACAAGGTAATTTAAATGATGGCATAAGTTAGGACAAGATCACGAATACAAGCGGCCAAAATTAGTTTTCTTCACAGGGTGGCTGGGTGCACCCTTCAAGATCGGATGAGGAGCTCAGTTACCCGGGAGGAGCTCGGAGTTGAGTAGTTGCTCCTCCACGTCGAAAGGAGCCAGCCGAGCATCTGTTCCGGATGCCTCCTGGTCGCCTCTCTCAGGAGGTGTTCCAGGCATGTCCCCATTGGGAGGAGGCCTCGTGAAAGGCCTAGGAAACATCTCTGAGCTGGCCTGGTGTCGCCTCAGGGTCCCCCCAGAACAGCTTGAGGAAGTGTGTGGATTGGGAAGTCTGGGCATCTTTGCTTAGACTGCTGCCTCCACGACCCGGCCCCGGAAAAGTGGAAAAAGATGGATGGATGGCATAAATAAGTCATTAAAAGAAAAGTACTATATCATATTTATAATTTTTTTAATAATTAGTTTAAGTGAGTGTTTGGATTTTTAAGAATACATGTAAAAATGCTTTGTTTTATAGCCTAAAAAGAGCAAAAACAATTGGATATCAAATATGAAAATTAGTAAAATCAAGCACTAGACAATAATAATAATAAAAGTTAGACTTGTGTCTGTAAAGTTTTTTTTTTTTTTTAAGTGTCCCCCTCTCCTCTGGTTTGGTCCCCAAACATCTTTGGTTCGCCCCTGATGTCCAAGAAAAACCTCATGAGGTTGTTCCTGTGATGCGTTTAGGTGCTGATGGCGCTCGTCGACAGTTGGATAACGGGACGGTGAAATATAAAGAAATGTGACTTTGTTCACTTCGAAAAGGTAGAAAGGTAGGTAAACACTACTGGACTGGCGAAAGGTTATAAGGCCGGTATTTATGTTCTGATTTTATGAGGTTTTACATTATTTCAGATGATAATACATAAATATTTTACATTGTTTAATTTTCAAAAACTTTATTTTGAGCCTTTGTATTAATTATTTAGGCTAGAAAAAAATATTTTATTTGGTGAATTTACATCATAATTG